ACATTAATTACGAGGGTCATGGAACATCAATCGGTTTCTAATTCGGCCGCCGATATGGCCTTCAATTAGCAGTTTAAACATATAAGCATGAACAGATAATCATCCAGTCAAACAGATAGAATGCAATTTAACTAACATATACTCAATCAATTCGGTTCCCAAATTTCAGTCAGTCAGTTCCGTACTTTAATCAGTTCAATTATCAGTCGTAATCAATTCAGTTTAACGGTAATCAATCAGTCATAAGTCGGTAAACAGTATGAGGGTTGTTACAATCACCAACAGATCTTCACCAACATTAACATCAAAAAAAAAAAAAAAGCTCAAGAAAATCATCTTTATCTCCATCATTTTTCAGATCTGAAGAACAAAAAAAAAAAATATTTATTTAACAGATCTCAGAACAAAAGAAAATGATCTTCATGTCATTTTTCAGATCTCCACCAACAGACCAATGCATATTTATTTAACAGATCAAAAAATAATTTTTACGGAATAAAAATAAATAAATAAATTTAGAGAAAAAAGGAAAAGAAAAAAGAACAGAGGTCGAAACCCTTATACACACAGATATATATATATATATGTGTGTGTGTGTGTGTGTGTGTGTGTGTGTGTGTACGTATGTAGCCCTATATCGAAATCGATCGAGAGAGAGAGAGAGAGAGAGAGAGCTACCAGCAGCGGCAGTCGTGGCGAGGGCGGTGAGGAACGATCGGCGGTGAAGGACAATCGGCGCCGTCATTGTGTGTGAGGGAGAGAGAGACAGAGAGAGAGAGATACCAGCAGCGGCAGTCGTGGCGAGGGCGGTGAGTTACGATCGACGGCGAGGGACGATCGGCGCCGTCGTTGTGTGTATGCGTGAGAGAGAGAAAGAGGACGATAGGGACGAGGGCTCCGTCCTTGTTTGTGTCTGTGTTGTGTGTTCTGTCCAAAACCCTAAACACACACGTACGTGTTAATATATATACCCAGGGGCAAAAAAGTCATTTCACTTCGGGGAAGGAAATGGGGCTGGGATCGGGACCGGGATCGGGACCGGGACTGGGGCTGAAACAGGTATCCCCGTCCCCGGCCCGAATATCATCGAGGATTCAATTTTTAATACCATCCCCGGCCCGTCGGGGGTATTTTTCGGGGAATCACCACTCAATTCGGGGTCGGGGGA